AACAATAATAAAAAATATAAAAAAGAGCATAAAAATGGCAAAAAACATGTACGGGTCCTGGTAACTATATGTCAATTATTTAATAAATCGATTAAAAACTATTCATTTAATATGTTTCTCTTTTAAAAATTACAAAAAAAAATAATAATATCAAAGTTGACTCTTAGGACTTTGAAGTGAATTTAAAATAAAAATATTTGAAAACTAATATTTTTTTAAAAGACAACACTTTTACTATAATTTTACCGGAATATAAAAATCTAAGTCCCTTTGAGTACCGTCATTATAGACACAATTATAGAACAATAGGTTGCGGTCACCGGTGTCCTCGCGGTGTTTGACAGTTTAATTATTGAGTAAAAAAAGCAATGTATGGATTTGACAACCAATGTAAAATCAATACATTGAATTTTTTATAGTATACATCGGCAAACGAGCTGACGGATCACCTGATGGTAAGCAATCGGCGTCGCCCATGGACACCTGGAACACCAGAGGCGTTACCAGTGCGTAACCGGCCTTTAGAATTGGCATTTCTATTCACTTATTACGACTAGCATTTATGCCAATGCCATTTTGTAATTAGTAGTTGCTTTTCCCAAAAATATTAGTTTTCAATATAAAATTACTAAAATCAACTTCATACCTAGAATGCTTCCTAAATAACCATGTGTGAAATGTTATAGAATTATGATTATAATTTATATATAAAAAAGGAGTTAGGACCAGCCTATTGTCCTTTTAAAACCGCCAAACTGATTAAAGAACTGTTTTGAGTTTCAAAATTTAATAAAACTGAATTAAATGCTTAAATTTTGACTTATTTAAAATATATTCTACACAATTCCACACACAGATAAAAAAATCAAATCACGTTAAACGAAACATAAATATTTATATATTATAAATATATTTATACATAATCTATATTAGATTCATAAAAATTAACAAACAAAGTAATTAAAATTCTACAAAAAAACAACTTGAAAATCAGATTTCAGAGATATTTGTTTTAAAAATTAAAATTATACACCTAATATAAATTAAAATTTCGCATAAATAAAAATGTAGAAGAATAATTATACATATGTATATATAAAGTTTATAATTATGACTTATAATATATAGTTCTGACTTAAAAGTTATATAAAAATTAAACAAGTTGATTGGCAACGTTAGAAAATTATGAAATATTTTGTATTATAATAATCTATGCTTTGTTATCCGTCACACAATTTAACAGGAACATATTAAAAGTGATTTAAAGTCATAAATTATTATGTTTTCGGCATACTCACGCAGTAATTCGACGAGGAACTCGACTAGTTTCAAGCCATGCTAGAGGCTCATATTTATGAGCAGCATTCCGCGACCCGCGCTGCGGCGACTGTCGCGCCGCTACTCTACTAGCAGCGCGACAGACGCCGCGTCGCCGAAAACATAGTAATTTATTTAGTATGTCTCAAGAAAGTTACAATACAAATTTAAAGTCATGTTATAAAATTAATAAATAAGTATGACGTTTAAATTTTTTATCTTAGTATCGTTTTCTTATACGACAAAAAAATCAAGTCTGACGGGGTAAATAGAGAAAGTATAGTCTAATCAGACAAATAATTTAGTATACCGGTAATAAAACAAAGATAGATTCAGTACAGAGACAGTAACCATTGGTACGGCTTCGTTACAAAGCGTACAATTTAGTAAAACAATAGTTTTTTTTAATGAGAGAAAATCATCCAATGACTGCTCCCGCCTGGGTGAGGCGGGAGGGGTCAGACTCTTACTGACTAAAAACCACCCCGTTCCTTCTCCTGTACTTCGAGCCGGAGCCCCGGTAACCCGTTACCTCCTCCGCGGCTCCGTATCGGCATCAGTCTTATTGACTAAGAATAGCTACTGTCTCTGTACAAAATCAATTTTTGTTTCCTTACCTTCTGACTAATTTAGCTGACAAAGCTATAGTATATATATTTAAAAAAAAGATTCACCGAAGGGGTAGGCAGAGAACATTATTTATAACTGGTGAAATATAGGTACTTTTTGAATTTGAGTTTCTCAAAAATTATTTACATTTTTCACGTCATACCATAATTTTAAATATATATAAATGTGTATATATAAAGCATATTTTAAGTAATAGTTCTTTACTCATTTTACACAATTTGTACAAATCCTTGTTTAATTTTATATTTATATTAATATTATTATTTATAAGATACAATTATATTAATTACTATGTTAATAATTATTTGTGATTAGTATTAAATGGGACGAATGGTTGATTTAATCATGAAAATGATTTCGGTGAAAGAATAATTTGATTTACAACTTTTTAGGAATATAATTTGGCAAGCTATGTGTTGGTTTTTGACTAGAGACGGGAATTCCTTACATACCCGAATAGGTAACAGGGATAATCACTAGAATGTTTTTAATAGAATTTTAGATGACTGTCCAATATCTTTATATATATAATTCTTCTGCGAGTGTATATGTCACTGAACTTCTTTCAAACGACTGAACCAATTTTGCTGAAATTTTTTGTGTGTGTTCAAGGGGATCTGGGAATGGTTTAGATTCACAAATCAGCCCGACAGATGGCGCTACAGTCGATGTTTAGGTTATTTATCCTAAACAGCTGGACTAATTTGAATGAATTTTTGTTTATACATTCAAGTGGATATGCAGGACAACGTCTGTCGGGTCCGCTAGTATATAAATAAAAATAAATTTCCGTTTGTTACTCTCGGTAAAACTCGAGAACGGTTTTTTTTACGGAATAGGAGGCAAACGAGCAGACGGATCACCTGAAGGTAAGCGATCAGCGCCGCCCATGGACACCCGCAACACCAGAGGAGTCACAGGTGCGTTGCCGGCCTTTTAAAAAGGAATACGCTGTATTCTTGAAGGTTTGGTTTGAGGGCTGAACCGATTTGGATAATTTTGGTCTTAAAATGTTCATAGAAGTCCAGCAGGGTTATTATAACGCCCTAAAGGTCAGAATGATTCCATTGAGGGAAAGAAACAGAGCTATACAAGACTCTAGCGATGTCTCGCTCCCTTACCGAAATCACTCTGGCTACAAGACGTCATAATACGCCACCAGGGCCTTTAGCCAAACGCCACTTTAGCGCTTGTCTACAGAGAGAGTAGAAAACTAAATGTATGGGGATGACACTGACAAGTGTCAAAATTTATGTCAATCCTTACTAATATTATAAATCGGAAAGTGAGTTTGTTTGTTTTTTTGTTTGTTCCGACTTCACGCCGTAACTACTAAACCGATTGCATTGAATTTTTGCAGACGTAAAGTTAGTAGTCTGGATTAAATAATAGGGTACTTTTTATCCCGAAAAAATTTGATATTCCCGAGGGAAAACAAAAGTATTGGTATAGATGGCGCTGTGCGTATTGGTCTATGTCACATAGGCTACTTTTTATCCTTTTGTGACGCGAGCGAAGCGCTACGTGTAGAATAGAAAATTTGGTTTTCTATTCTACACGTAGACAAGCGCTAAATGGCATTTGGCTGCAGCTGCTGGGTAGATAAAAAAAATAGAGTAAGCTATTCTTGAATCCAATTCCGATCAATCGACATTGGTATTGTGTCGTACTCTTGAGTTGTAACACTAGCGCCCATTACATCCGTATGCGTGGATATTGAATGAACTAAATAGTATAGAGTTTGGCTTTATATTCCGTACTCTGAATGCTATTTGAACAGCTACGATTGTGGTTTTATAGTGTTGACATTGAATAATTATTGACATTTTATTGCATTGACATTGAGATTGGTTTCAAGAGTGAGAAAGAAAGAAAGAAAAACCATTTATTTTGCTACGACACACAACAAGAATTTAGAAAGCCAAAAAATAGCCTATGGTGCGTCTGGGAAAGTTTAACTCGTCGAGTACCGTATTTATAGACACAATTAAAGAACAATAGGTCGCGGTCACCGGTGACCGCTTGGTGTTTGACAGTTTAAAAGGTACCAAATATTATTTTAAGTAGGTACGTAGCTTTCCGGTTCAGCTAGTCTATACATATATATAAAAGAAAGTCGTGTTAGTTACACCACTTATAACTCAAGAACGGCAGAATAGATTTGGCTGAAAATTGGTAGGGAGGTAGCTTAGAGCCAGGAGACCGACATAGGGTACTTTTTAACCAATTTTTTTACTTTTTACCGAAAATCACGAACGGGGTCGGGAAAAATGGGATTACGCGTACGAAGTCGCGGGCAGAAGCTAGTAGATAATAATTATCAAATATCAGTTTCATTAGACAAACAGATCCTCACATTACATTCGTATCGGTTGATGACAGAAAAGGCAGCCATCTTTTACGTAATATAATTATAATATAATATCACGTCTTTTATCCCCGAAGGGATAGGCAGAGGTGCACACAGAGGTAACACCCACTTTCCACTATTTATATTATGAGTGGGCTGTAATAGGGTCCCCATCTTTTACGGTGCACAGTAATATGGTATTTCTAATCCGGTAAGCATAGGAATTCCCAAGATTCCTGTTCGGGAATCACAGGAATCAAGATAATTGGTTTCAAACTAGTTCTAGACGAAAAGTTGCAATTATTCTTTCGCGGAATCAAATTTTATACAAACACCAAAAATCTAAAATATTGTTTAACCCATTTAATACTAAAAACGAATATATATATCACAAGTAGCATAGTAATTTAACGTTTGGTCCCTAAAGAATATAAAATAAAATAAAATAAAAAATAACAAAAATAAATATACGATCTATATCAATTATTCACTACGAAGGGACCGCGCGCTAAAAAGAAATATAAATTACAATTTAAAATAATAAAAAATATATATTAATAATAATAATTATTCCTATTATTTATTTAAAAAATAAAACGATATTAGAGATTATCGTCGCGAAGAGAATTATTTGTTTTTACAATATACTTTTTGTTTCTTCATTATTTTTAATTATTTTTTTGCGAAACTTTGGAATGTCACATCACTGAAGTATTCTTGAGATGTCCTGTAACAAAGAAATATATATATTCAGTATTTCATGGCTTCACACGGGATAATCATACATAACTAATTGTTTGTCCTCAATGGACTCCTAACTAAACCAATTATAATAAAATTCGCACACCATGTGTAGTTCGATCTAACTTGAGAGATAGGATAGTTTAAATCTCAAATTATAGTCGCAATTTTAATTTATTGCTAATTATTTGTCTGTTATTATTTGACAGTCACAATTATCTGTTAACTCCAAATGATTCTAACAGATGTCGATATCTTTCGACTGGGTTGAGTAAGTAATCAATAGATGGCGCTGCTATGGTATATCTACAAACTTGTGATATAAGCTAAATTTTAAAAGCTGTCTGTCCCTATGTATGCTTAGATCTTTAAAACTACGCAACGTATTTTGATGCGGTTTTTTTTATAGATAGAGAGATTCTTGAGGAAGGTTTATATGTATGATTTATAATGCGTATTGCATCCGTGCGAAGCCGGGGCGGGTCGCTAGTATGTACTATTATATAAAGCGGAAGAGTTTGTTTGTTTGTTTGTTTGAACGCGCTAATCTCCGTAACTACAAGTCTAATTTGAATAATTCTTTTTGTGTTGGATAGCGCATTTATCGAGGATGGCTATAGGCTATAAAACATCACGCTACTACCAATAGGAGCTAAGCAGAGCGTGTGAAACCGCGCGAAACTAGCTAGTTTTATATATTATTATCGATAGATATTATCTGGCTATGGCTTGCTACGGCGAGATGTTTTATAGCTTTTAGACTTCCTCGATAAATAGACTATCCAATGCGATAAGAATTATTCAATTCGAACCAGTAGTTTCGAAGATAAACACATTTAGCGGTACAACGAGCAGACTGATCACCTGATGGTAAGCAATCGTCGCCCATGCACACCCGCAACACTAAAAGCGTTACTAGTGCATTGCCGGCCTTTTGGTGCTTTACGGATTACGGACTTAGGGATAGAGTATGGTCCCTTAGTATATTATATAGTATAGGATATATTACACACGCTGGAAGAGCCGAGTGGTGGACTTTTAGGGATAGAAGATTTGGAGATTAAATGATGTGTACTGTAATGCTTTAGTCGGGTATACGACACCCGCGGGAAGAGGAGAGGTGGTCACAAAATAGAGTATAATCATCAATAGATATATAGTCAATAAATATATAATCAATAAATATATAGAGAGCTCTGCTTACCTCGTATCTGTGTAAGATCGGGGTACTGTTGTAGTGCGGACTTTCACTGTAGAAGAATGGCCGCTTCATTGTGTTTTGCCCTGTCGACGAACAGACATACATATTATACTATTTTTGATTTTATAATCTAATACTATTATTATAAAACTATAGTGTTTGCAGCGCGCTATTTGATTGCGGAGTAGTTATGGTGGGGTTACATTAACGGGTTTTTGTTTGAAGGGGAGAAAATCATCGAATGCCTGCTCCCGCCTGGGTGAGGCGGGAGGGAGTGTCAGACTCTTACTGACTAAAAACCACCCCGTTCCTTCTCCTGCACGTCGAGCCGGAGCCCCGGTTACCCGTTAAGCCTTCTGCGGCGCCGTATCGGGCATCAGCCCTACTGGGCCCCATCCGTGTCATATCGATCCAGTACCCTTAACCAAACGCCACTTTAGCGCTTGTCTACAGAGAGAATAGAAAACTAATTGTATGGGGATGACACTGACAAGTGTCAAAATTTACGTCAATTCCATATAGTTTGGTTTTCTATTCTACATGTAGACAAGCGCTAAATGGTATTTGGGTGCAGCTGCTGGCTTTGCATTAAGATCGCTTATTAATTTCACCCCTAAATAATATTCTTAATATACGTATTGAGTATAATAATGAGTGCAAGTGAGTGTAAGTGAGTGTAAGTGAGTGTAAGTGAGTGTAAGTAAGTGTAAGTGAGTGAAGTGAGTGTAAGTGAGTGAAGTGAGTGTAAGTGTGTGTAGTGAGTGTAAGTGAGTATACTCACATAGCTGCGTGTGCGCGGCGAGTGCGTTTTGTTTGGCGATGAGCATCTCCGGGCCCGGCCGGGGGACCTGCTCGTAGTACCCGCCTGGAACATACATACATTATTATTACATATATATATGGACGCCATGGTTGAAACGATCATTCATAGTTGTGTGGGAGAGCCATGCTTCGGCACGAATGGGCCGGTTCGACCGGAGTGATACCACGGTCGAGGAGAAAGCCGACGTTGAAACAACGCTTGCGTTATTTTGTCGTGTGAGTGAGGTTACCGGAGACACAATTACGCCCCAAATCTTCCCAATCCCTTAACTCCCAAAGATCCTCAAATCCCTAATCCCCAAAAGGCCGGTAACGCACTTGTAACGCCTTTGCTGTTTCAGGTGTCCATGGGCGACGCCGATTGCTCACCATCTGCCCGGTCTCTGTCAAATATGTTCTTTCTTAGTCGGGTATACGACACCCGCGGGAAGACTAGCGGTGGTGACATACATAAACAATAACCCACGTCACGACCTTATCATGTAGTATGTTTTATTATCAGTAAATAGTATTTTAAATAGCTGTATGACACATACCTGTGACGTTGTTATGATTGTTTGTTGGGTAGTAGGGACTGCCCTGTGGCTGCATCACATTCTCACATCCTGAAATATAAATAATAATTACTTATATACATAACATAACATCACGCCTTTAATGAGCAATGTAAAACAGACTTTTTTTTTAAAAGAGTAACGAATGGAGTTTCTTGCTCGTTCTTCTCCACTCGAATCGACATTTTGGAACGAGCGCCTAGCTTCACTGACGGACAGACTGACAGACTATTATTTATTTCATATTTGTTGACGTTTCAAAAGTACCAAATTATGGTTTAATTGAAATAAATGCTTTTGAGTTTATCCCCAAGTAGGCAGAGGTGAGCAGTACCGTACTTAATACCACTGTACAATGTAACATCCACTTTTCACTATTTATGTTATGAATCCCATGTAATAGGGGGTGAGCCTATTGCCATATACCGGACACAATTCCATACTCCGTGATACTACTGAGATTATACATTTTTATTTAAAAAAAACTATATTTTGCCCTACCCGGGAATCAAACCTTGTCGCGGGAGTTGCACTTGCGACCACTCAGCCAATGAGGCCTCATTCATCTACTTATATTCCAAATTTCATCCTGATCCCTTCAGCACTTTAGACGTATATTTAACAATTACAATCCTTACTATAATATTATAAATCGGAAAGTGAGTTTGTTTGTTTGTTCCGCTTTGACGCCGTAACTACTAAACCGATTGCTTTGAATTTTTGCAGACGTAAAGTTAGAAGTCCGGATTAAATAATAGAGTACTTTTTAACCCGGAAAAAAAATATTTTCTCGAGGGAAAACAAAGTATTAGTATAGATGGCGCTGTGTGTATTGGTATATGTCACATAGGCTACTTTTTATCCATTTGTGACGCGAGTGAAGCCGCGGGTAAAAGCTAGTAATAAATAATTATTAAGTAATCTCACCGTTAGGAGTGTCAGGTTCCTGTTTGACCTGATGTTGTATCTGTTCTAGAATGGCGCGCTGTTGTTCCAGTCTCCTTGAAGTATACATGTCAGCGTCTGCAAAGAAGATAGAACAACTCAATCGGGAATCAAACCAGATACGTGCAGGATAGTCGTCGTCATCATTTATCTATTATTTTTATGGAATAGGAGGCAAACGAGCTGACGGATCACCTGATGGTAAGCGATCAGCGTCGCCCATGGACACCTGGAATACTAGAGTCACAGATGAATGTGAATCGAAATGGAGTCTTTTTTTTGAAGGGGGAAATTCATCCAATGACTTCTCCCACCCGGGTGAGGCGAGAGGGAGTGTCAGACTCTTACTGACTAAAAACCACCCCGTTCCTATTCCTGCACTTCGAGCCGGAGCCCCGGTAACCCATTAAGTCTTCCGCGGCTCCGTATCGGCATCAGCCCTATTGGGTGGTGGTCTGATGGCTCTTTGAGGCGCGCGAGGAACGCTCGGCGCCGTACGCTCGGGTCTGTTTCTGGTCGGACGGGGAGCCACCCATGCTCGCCGTCCGCAGGCCCGCGCTTACGGTGGATGGAGATCGTCCCGCGACCCCCGACGCCCGGTGTGTTTTCCGCGACGGCCGGGGAATCGAAATGGAGTCTACTATTATCTTATACTTATACGGCTCGGCTGAGAACCTCCTCCTTTTTGAAGTCGGTTAGATATAAAATACACATCAACAGCCTATAACTGCACACTGCTGACCAAAAACCTCTTCTCACACGGAGAAGGTTTGAGCATTAATCACCACGCTTGCTCAATGCGGGTTGGCGATTACAAACTTATAATTAGAGATTATAAGCCCAGGTTTCCTCACAATGTTTTCCTTCACCGTTTGTCAGTGGTGTCTAAATAATCTTAGAAAGTACATATAACTGGGAAAAAGTCACATTGGTACTTGCCGTTGGTAGGTTTCGAGCCCGCACCCTCATGCATGAGAAGCGGGCGTCTTACACCTCCGGGCCACCACGACAATTATACTCGATTAATACAGAGAGTACAATTTTAAAAACAACAAAGCGGGTGACAGTCCACTGCTGTACTATGAGCCTCCTCTACATAAGAGGGGTTTGTCATAATGTCTTAGCTTGCCAGGCGTGTTGGAGATCGCAGTATAAAAGGTTCAGGTTTATTAGAGAGCGCTGCTGCCCGAATTCTTTCAAATATAACCTAGCTTCACCTAACTTCACTGACAGACTGACTGAAAAACTATTATTTATTTTGTATTTGTTGACGTTTCAAAAGTACCAAATTATGTTTTTATTGAAATAAATGCATTGACTTTGACTTTATGTAGTCTCTTAATCTGTTTTTTTTTTTAAGTTAAACATTGCCCCATACTAGGATTTTCTCCTGTGTCGTCGGTGCATTTACAAACATACAAGTTCACATACACATGACACACAGACCCGGAACAACAATTTGTTAATCACAGAGTTGCTCCGTGAGGGAATCGAACCCGCTACACGTTGCGCAGCAGCCAATTCCCCAGCCAAGCAAGTCAAGTACTCGGGTATACCACACCCACGACAAGAGTAGCGGTGGTATCGAATATATTTCACTCCGCCGTCATCGTACGATAATATTTTGATAACAATCCCATGCATAGTATATAATGATGATGAAAAAATACACAATTCTCGAGTATTAACTACTATTATTACTATTATAGTAAAATGTTAGACATAATATTGTCGTAACACATACTATATGTGGATAATATTATGAGAACTATGCTGCGCGTATGATATAATTGTTTAAAAGAAAAATCCATTTATTTGTAAAAACATCGCTTTGAGCTGTGACTGTTTTGTTTGAAGTTGAGAGTCGATTCTTGGTTAAGACAAAATCGTTAAAGAATACTCTAGTCACCACCCCTTCTATTCCCGCGGGTGTCGTATACCCGACTAAAGAACTATAATTACCGATTTTGATGCGACTATAAAAAAAGCGTTTGTCTCTCAGGAGCAGTTTTTAGTCTATTATGCGACTTGAAATAAATAAAGGGTTAAAGTCGGTTTTTTGGAAATTATATATACTATGCATGTCGTGGAGGCCCGGAAGTCTAAGACGCCCGCTCTCATGCATGACGGTGCGTGTTCAAAACCTACCAATACCAAACAAATGTGACTTTTTCCGAGTTATATGTACTTTCTAAGATTATTTAGACACCACTGACAAACGGTGAAGGAAAACATCGTGAGGAAACCTGGGCTAATCATTTCAATTATAAGTTTGAAATCGTCAACCCGCATTGAGAAAGCGTGGTGATTAATGCTCAGCCTTTGGTCAGCAGTGGGCATTATAGGCTTTTTTAAGGGGGGAAAAATCATCGAATGACTTCTCCTGCCTGGGTGAGGCGGGAGTGAGTGTCAGATTCTTACTGACTAAAAACCACCCCGTTCCTTCTCCTGCACGTCGAGCCGGAGCCACTGTAACCCGTTAGGTTCTCCGCGGCTCCGAATCGAGGTTGGTAATGTGTGTATCATCGTCATCATCATCCACAGCCGGAAGACGTCCACTGCTGGACAAAGGCCTCCCTCTTAGCCCTCCACGTCGAACGACAACTCGCCACCTGCATCCACTGGCTCCCCGCAACTCTGGCGATGTCGTCGGTCCACCTAGCGGGAGGCCTGCCCACGCTTCGTCTTCCGGTCCGTGGTCTCCACTCAAGGACTTTCCTGGCCCATCTGCCGTGAGTCCTTCGAGCGACGTGGCCTGCCCATTGCCACTTCAGTCTGCAGATTTTGCGAGCTATGTCGATAACTCTTGTTCTTTGGCGAATTTCTATATTTCAGATTTTGTCGCGCAAAGAAAATATAATGCGTAAAGAAGAAGAAAATAAAAGGTAATGTGTGTATGTGTGATTGAATAGAATGACAAAATAACTTACCAAGTTGTTCCTTACTCCTTTCATATGCGAATTTGTCATCATCGACGTTGATGTCAACCTCCTGCTTAATATGGCTTTCGTTAAAAAAATTCTGATTTTCATTGATCCTATGTTGTTCCTGCAGCATTTGTAAATTGTGCTGTTGATTCCGCAAAATTTCAACGCTATCCTGATAGTTCTGAAAACCGTAGTCGGGACGAAATGGTTTCTCGAAACCTGGGTACGCGTCGAGTTTCGGATAACCGTCGACCTGTTTGGGGAACTCCACAGGTTTTTCGTAACCATTCAAGGACTTCCTTTCAAGTGCATATTTCTCGGCTTCTTTATTATATTCCTCATTCGTCTGCGGTATATAATCATCTTGTTTGTTAGTGTAATCTTTCGCTTCATATTTCTTATCGTAAACTTGTTCTTTTTGGTACGTTTGGTAGTCTATGTCGGGGTATTTTTCTGAAACCTCGCTGTAACTGTTGTTCGGTTGTGAATCGTCGTCTTCAGATTGTACTGGGTCTGTTTGCATGAAGGCGTCCTGCTTCTTGGGCTTCATTGAAGGATGGGGATTATTGATTTGTGGTGATAGATTCATTGTGTTTAGTGTTGGGTAGCGGTATGCTAGCTGGAAGTGAGAAAAGAGACATCATATTTAATTAGAAATATGTAAATAGTGACACAATACTAAACTGTATTTACAATGGTTGATTACTGTTCCTGTGCAAAAAACTAATACTCGAATACTGAATGACTACTCAATTTAACTTGTACTTAAATATCGTGCCGTCTCTGTCGTTTTACAAAGAGTTTGTAGAGACAGAACTATAATAAGCGCGACTTAGAATCGAATAGCATTTTAGTATTCGGGGATAAAAGACGACTTTTCGTTTTTTTTTCTATTTTTCAGTAATAGCTCAGAGCATAGCATTTTTACCAGTGTATGATACTATGTTCACCCCCTATTACATTGTGATACATAACATCACGCCTTTTATCCCCGAAGATGTAGGCAGAGGTGCACATTACGGCACTTAATGCCACTGTACAATGTAACACCCACTTTTCACTATTTATGTTATGACTCCCATGCAATAGGGGGTGAGCCTATTGCTATATACCGGGCACGATTCCAGACGCCGTGCTAAACCTGAGAATTTAAAAAAAATTCTTTGCCCGACCCGGGGATCGAACCCGAGACCCCTTGCCCGGCAGTCGCACATACGACTACTCGGCAGCCACTAGTAGAGCTTTTCTCAGTATACTCACGTGAGTAACCCGCGATTTTTAGTTAATTTAGTATGTGTCACGATATCTACTATATAAAAATAAGTCAGGTTTTCCTTCCTGACGCTATAGCTGTAGAACGCACGAACCGATTTCCAAGGTTTTGCATTCGTTGGAAAGGTCTCGGGCTCCATGAGGTTTATAGCAAAGAATCCTTACTTAATATAATATTATAAATCTGAAAGTGAGTTTGTTTGTTTGTTTGTTTGTTCCACCTTCACGCCGTAAGTACTCAACCGATTGCTTTGAATTTTTGCAGACGTAAAGTTAGAAGTCCGGATTAAATAATAGGGTACTTTTTAACCCTGAAAAATTTGATATTCCCGAGGGAAAACAAAAGTATTGGTATAGATGGCGCCGTGTGTATTGGTATATGTCACATTGGAAAAAATTGATATTTCCGAGGAAAAACATAAGTATTGTAGTGTCACATAAGCTACTTTTTATTCTTTTGTGACGCGAGCGAAGCCGCGGGTAAAAGCTAGTGTTATATAAAACGAAGCCATCTGGTGGCGAAACGGAGTTCGCGAGGTTTGCTAGTTTATTATAGAAACTTACATTATTGTCCTGTGGGTCACAGACCATGTGTGGGTCAGTTGTGGTCTGGAGAACACTGTGTGGTCCAAGGTTCATTGGCCATTTGTCTGTCTTCTCACTGTAATTTTATAAAACAACACGTTAAACCCTTACTTATATTATAAATCGGAAAGTGAATTTGTTTGTTTGTTCCACTTTCACGCCGTAACTACTAAACCGATTGCTTTGAAATTTTGCAGACGTAAAGTTAGAAGTCCGGATTAAATAATAGGGTACTTTTTATCCCGGAAAAATTTGATATTCCCGAGGGAAAACAAAAGTATTGGTATAGATGGCGCTGTGTGTATTGGTATATGTCACATTGGCTTTTTATCGTTTTGTGACGCGAGCGAAGCCGCGGGTAAAAGCTAGTTCAATATACAATGTACGTGAATTGCTTATGGGACGACGTGCTCTATAGTAGACCGCATCATCGCTTACCACCAGGCGAGATAGTGGTCAGCGATGATGCGGTCTACTAGACTAGGATGGAGCACGTCGTCCAATAACCAACCTATTGACTCGTCTATTTACTCGGATTGATTTAGGATTGGGAATTTACTGATTTGGGGGTTCAAAATATGTGAGAGATTAAGAATTGGGAATGTATGTCTTCTTTTTTTAAGGGGGGAAAATCATCGAATGACTGCTCCCGCCTGGGTGAGGCGGGAGGGAGTGTCAGACTCTTACTGACTAAAAACCACCCCGTTCCTTCTCCTGCACGTCGAGCCGGAGCCCCGGTTACCCGTTAGGTTGTCCGCTATCTATCTACTCACCCATGGATGTCATCCTTCTTGCCTTCCCTGTATTTAACGGTGCGACTCTTCCTGATCACCATGACTGTACCATCAGGGTTCAGTTTAGGCAGGTTCTGGGAGGGCACGGCATCTTTGCTTAACGTCTTCCATTGTCCTGGAATAACAGAGTAACTTTAGTATACCATCATCCTGATCGACTCCAACTGATCAATAGCGTGATGTTTTATAGACTATAGCCATCTTATACTATTATATAAAGCGGAAGAGCTCTCCGTAACTACAAGTCTGATTTGAATAATAATTTTTGTATTGGATAGCGCATTTATCGAGGATGGCTTTAGGCTATAAAACATGACATGAGCTGAGCAGTGCGTAATAAATACACTATCCAACACAGGTGAAAATCTTAATAGAAAGAGTAAGCAAGAAGAAAACAAAGAAAATTCGTTATTGGGCCTTCGGTAACCTCACTCACACGACGAAACACAACGTAAGCGTTTTCTGTGAGGCCGTATCACTCCGGTCGAGTCGGCCCATTCGTGCCGAAGCATGGCTCTCCCACACTTGTAAAATATGATTATTATTTGGGTCAAATTAATATTACCTACGAGACATTCACTACTGAACAATCCTCACGCATGATTAGTCAGTAATTAAAATCATCATTCTCTTATCATCATCAACAGCCTATAAATGCCCACTGCTGAGCAAAGCCTCTTCTCACACTGAGAAGGTTTGAGCATTAACCACCACGCTTGCTCAATGCGGGTTGGCGATTTCAAATTTACAATTAGAAATTATAAGCCCAAGTTTCCTCACGATGTTTTCTTTCACCGTTTGTCAGTGGTATCTGAATAATCTTATAAAGTACATATAACTCGGAAAAGTCACACTGGTACTTATCTACCATATCAATGTATAAGTACTACCTGTATAAAAATGAATAAATGTTATTGTCAAAACAAAAAACCTCATCAAAATCAAAATCAAAAGTTTATCCAATCGTGAGATAATCGCGGGACAAACATTATTTATAAAGTCAGTTAAAAACACCGGGAAAGTTCTAACACATGACGATACCTAAGTACGTGTGTCGCCTGGACAGTCAACCTCGCTACATCCTTGTTGACTGGACATCTACACTACATGAGCTGCTGTTTACATGTGAACATTAGCTCATGGCGATACCTAAGTACGTGTGTCGCCTGGACAGTCAACCTCGTTACATCCTTGTTGACTGGACATCTACACTACATGAGCTGCTGTTTACATGTGAACATTAGCTCATGACGATACCTAAGTACGTGTGTCGCCTGGACAGTCAACCTCGCTACATCCTTGTTGACTGGACATCTACACTACATGAGCTGCTGTTTACATGTGAACATTAGCTCATGACGATACCTAAGTACGTGTGTCGCCTGGACAGTCCACGTCGCTACATCCTTGTTGACTGGACATCTACACTACATGAGCTGCTGTTTACATGTGAACATTAGTTCATGATGATACCTAAGTACGTGTGTCGCCTTTTTTCACGAAAAATTTTCCAATGAGTCCTCCCTGGGTGAGGCGAAAGGAAGTGTAAGACTCTTACTGACTAAACACCACCCCGTTCCTACTCCTGCATAGAGTAACATTAACTCATGACGACACTACACAACATTATAACGTGAACAATAACAATGACTCAAGTATCAAAGGTTATTTTTTGCAATAATATGTTAATTTTAAGCCTTTGTATTTTGAACTCTAAGTCGATAGCAGAAGGACGCATCAATTAGATATGTAGTGTTAGAATTTTATGACAAAACGAACTTCCGATCAGATTTATATGTTGATATCCTATATTTTTATATGTTAACATGGACAACGATGATCACTGACAAACAGAAAATCATTTTACATTTATATTTACTAGCAGTCCGTATGAATATTAGGTGACGGCAGAGTAGAGTACATTTGTCACCACCGTTATTCTTCCCGCGGGTGTCGTATACCCGACTCTTTTTATTTTAAGGGAGAGAATAATTGATTGACTTCTCCCGCCTTAGTGAGGCGGGAGGGTGTGTCATACTCTTACTGACTAAAAACCACCCCGTTCCTCTTCCTGCACGTCGAGCCGGAGCCCCGGTAACCCGTTAGGTTCTCCGCGACTCCGTATACCCGACTAGGAGATAACATTTGACAGAGACAGGGCAGCAGCGCTCTCTGATAAACCTGAACCTTTTATACTGCGATCTCCAACCTGCTTGCGCAACTCGGATATGACAAACCCCTCTTATGTAGAGGAGACTCATGGTCCAACAGTGGACTCTCACCCGCTATTAATGATAACTAGTAGTAGCCTGTCATCACTTTGCTCTGATGACAAATCATCCGGACTTTCCCCGACATTTACGCCGAAAAGGATTTATCCAATTTGAAGAAGTAATTCAACGCAAAAGTGACGCGCATACATTTCGGAGATATATTTTATGTAGGTATCCTCATAATACCTATTTTCCTTGACTAAAGTCCCCCTCAATTCCTTTGATTACCTAACCAGTAAAAATATGAACAACACAATTGTAACTCCTTTAGATTTGCGGGTGTCCATGGGCGACGCTGATTGCTTACCATCAGGGCATAGTATAAAGAACAAAGTAGGTTATCTTCATACAAATGCTCCGCGCGCGGCTTATATGTGTGCGCCATAGTATCTATGCGTCGACGCACGCACACTTTAACAAAATCTCGACCCGTTTCTCAGTGCGCCAGGCAGGGCTAACACTGCACGAGGTACGCGCGCATAACTTTTCGGCACTGTTAAATGAAATAAAAAATGTCTGATAACCGTAGAAGAACGTATTGTTGTGTGTTTGGGTATCTTAATAATTAATCGATTCCAGAACTGTCTTTGTTCAGATTACCTATTGAACAGGAAAGGTAAGCTAGTCACTTTTTCTAGCATAATATAATTTGTAGGTACTTGATGATGAGATACCTACTTACTTATTCTTACTCTTATCATTCTTCATAGTTCCTACTCAACCAGAAATGTAATTACCTACTATACTTAAATATTATAAGAAAATGTGGCATTGTATTGTTTATTTCACAGTTTATCTGATTTGTTAAGAGCGTGGCCGTGTCGCATTTTTCCATATAAATGTATTCCCAAATTTACTTTCTGAATACTATGTATAGAGCTAAAGTTTATTTTAAGAAGTTAATAATCTTTTTTTAAGCTTTTTATTTTTACTAAATTTATAAATTGATAAAATATTCAATTATAATATGCTTTTCATTTCATAAATTTAGATCAAGTGCTGCTTGTTCGAAAATATTAACTAAAAGTAAATGTGACAACCCTGGGGATCAACGCAAGAGTAGGCTAATAACTCGGCGGGCGGCCTTAGATAACCTACTGTGTGTTCTTTATACTATGATCAGGGGGCTTACTCTTGAATTGAATTCCGATCGATCGTCAATGGTATTGTGAAATTTCGTACTCTCGAGTTGCAATATTAGCGCCCATTGCATTCGTATTAGGTGGATATTTAATTGAGTTTGGCTTTATATTCCGTACTCTGAATGCTATTTCAACAGCTACGATAGGGGTTGTATAGTGTTGACATGGAATGATTATTGAGTTTTTTTGGATTGAAATTGCATTGACATTGAGAAAGGTTTCAAGAGTAAGCACCCAGGTGCTCCGTCTGCTCGTTTACCGGCCTATTACCAAAATTATTCCTACTAGTCTAAACCGACTCATTCCACAACCATAGAAAGATAAACTTCAAAACAATTTAAATAGGTATCAAACAGGGAAATGTTTATCTAAATACTTAGGTACCTAGGCATCCGTTTAGGTAGGTAACAATACCTAATACTTATTGAAATCTGATTAAAACGTTCTACTTAGGCACTAATTGCGTCGAAAAATTACCTAAATATGTGCCTACTAATAAAATAATCTATAATAAGTAGTTATTACTAGTTACGCCGCCCGCTTTTTAAATGAAAAGTCCAGTACTTTCAGTAGCAGCGCGACAGTCGCCGCGCCGCGGATCGCGGAATGCTGCTCATGAATATGAGCCTCTAGCATGGCTTGAAACTAGTCGAGTTCCTCGTCAAATAATTACGTGAGTAAGTCGTATACATATAATGAAAAGTCCGTTTGTTTAACCGTTAATCCCCGTAACTAGCAATTCGAGTTGGATAATTATTATTCTTGCGTTACGCCCGAATACTGAAAGACTATTCAATTTTAACTTGTACACACGGCTACACATTCAGACCTTTACATAACCAGTATAAACTGAACGTTAAATGTGCGGAAAGATGATGCGACGCGACACCAGGATAAACTGGTTTTGTATAGATTGATGTGTGGCCGTGTATACTTAAATATCGTGCCGTCTCTGTCGTTTTACAAAGGATTTGTAGAGACAGAACTATACTTACTTAAGCGCAACTTGAAGTTGAGTGATGTTTGAGTATTGGAGTTCGAGCATTAGTCCATTTAATATTATACAATTTTTTAAATGAGATAGGCCGGTAAGCGAACTGACTGATCACCTGATGGTAAGCAATCAGTGCCGCCCGTTGACTCTTAAAACACTAGAGGCTTTACAAGTGTGTTGTCAATTTTTTGGGGGTTAGGATTCTGAGGATTGGGAATTCAGGGATTGGGAAGATCGTGGAGGTTACCCGACACTGGTAACCTCACTCACGCAATTATTGTTTCACGCCGGTTTCCAACGAGTGGTATCACTCCAGTCGGCTTATTCGTGCGGAAACATGTCTGTTCGAGTTTTTTCTATGGCATAAGCCGGTAAACGAGCAGACGGATCACCTGATGGTAAGCAATCGGCGTCGCCGATGGACACTTGGAACACCAAGGCGTTATAAGTGCGTTACCGGCCTTCTGGGAATTGGGAATTTGAGGATTGTGGAGGATTCGGAGATTGGGGAGAATAGGGAGGGGCGGGGGGTTGCGGGGGGTTATTTGAGGCTCCGGTAACCACACGCCACGAAACACAATGCAACCGTTGTTTCACGTCGGTTTTCTGTGAGGCTGTGGCATCACTCTGGTCGAGCCGGCCCATTCGAGCCGAAGCATGGCTCTTCCACACTTGCAAGTTAAAAGTCAAGATTATAATATTAATTAA